AAGATAAGGTGTCGTCGGAGGCGCCAAGCCGGCCAGCGACGAATTTTGCGCTTCTTTTTGTATCGCGAACGTGGCAAGCTGCTGCATAGATGCTGATACTGATGCCTGATGCACCAAGATGCAAATAAACTTCTTATGTGAGCGCACAGCATCTAGGTCCGTTTTGCAAGTAGGTATGTAAGTTGCGACTAGTCGCAAAAAAACACCGCAAAAATGCTTGGTCGCAACACGTAAAACAAAATAAAGAAGGCGAAAAAACGCACAGTTTTAAAGTTTGCAAACGTGCTGAAATAAAAAGTATTGTAATAAAAGACGCTGCGAGTGGTTCTTGAACTGAAGACTTGTCGTCGATTTCGATGCGTCGAGCCGACCGGCGCGAAAAATCCGATGTAATCGTGAAAGTGTATATCTTATTAGCCACAATGAAGACGTGTAATTAACATACATTTACATTATTAATTATATCGCGTGCATTTCTTCAACAGATGCAGCTCTTTATCTTCAAGTATAAAAATTATATTTGCTTTGGGGTTTTAAATCTAAAACAAAATTTCAATAATCAAGCAATAAATCTCTTCCTAGATGTTTGTTGGATTGTTTGTTGTTAACTCTCAATTTCGAAATGCATTGAATTTTTGGAGTTTTCGACAACTCCTAATTTGTAATTCAAAAATTCTTGCCTCACACAAAAAAACATGACCTGTCAACAGTTGAAACAGATGTAAACGTCGAGATGCCAATCGAAATTATCACCGGTTCAACTTGTTTCACTTTTTTGTGTTCTTTAAGTATAGTTTTTTTATGTTTGGTCCACAAACCACTCGTCTTGAGTCCACTCGGTCACGACACTGTCATCTTATGGTCACAAATCGCTCTGAATTAGTTTCCAAATGGGCGAAATCCATTAATTAGGTAATTTTCGGTGAACACAACTTCACATAAAAACCGTTTGATTTAAGTTTGATAGGAATAAACATGAAAAGCCCTTTTCTGTTTTTTAAATTTATTCAAATGTATGTGAAATGACAAAATCTAGCATGAGTTGACATTTTTAATTGGTCTAATAGGACTAAATAATTTTGTTAAGTATTTTCAGTATTTTGATGTTTCTCAAAAATGCAAGTTAAGGGTGCTAGGACAACTTAGAATGCGATAAAAATACCTTAGTTTGACTTTAATAGAAGAAATAAATTTATTAACACAGCTATACATTTGGGACAATTTTCAGATTGGAGCTTTTAAGCTTTGCTACTAATTGACGACAAGTAGAAGATTCAACTTTGTAATCTTAATCTATTTAATGCATTTAACAAATGTTCTAGCAACCAAATAGAAATTGATTACTTTAATGAGATATGCTTTAAACTTAGGTTACTCTATTTTTCATTGCTATATTATTATGTCCCAGTCTTTTAATTTTGTGGTAGAAAATAGTTCATTAAAAAGAAGGTGACTTAAATGCTTTGTTTGTACTTTCATTTTACCGGAACGCTTTTTTCCTCGTCTCGAACTTGACCTTTAAGTGAAATTATGTGTGCGTGTACTCTCAAAAAAAAATCTATTTGTATAAATAAATAATTGAAGTCCATTTAGTGAAAAGAGGCAGAGCTGACAGTAGAGTGTGCACAAACGATGCTGATTTATCGAGCATTTCGAATGCATTTATAAAGCGATCATCCGGTAAGAATCAATAATGGTAATGTGGTAATGGTAACAAAGTAAAGGCGCGAGTGACGAGTAAAAACACAACTGCCACGGACGGCGAACGGAGATCTCTCGCAGGAAACAGCGCAGCCCGCGCGTGCACACACGCGCAGACATTAAGCCGGCGTGTAATGAAAAGCTAAATAAAGAAATATTGCGCTTAAGTATCGAAAGTGAAAAGGTGTTGATTTATGGGCGCGCATTTTTCGTGCTGCGTTGCGTGGGAGCTGGCCAGACGGCCGCTGAAAGAACTTAATTTCTTCCTTAATGCACTCTCAGTAAGTCAAGTCAGCAAGTCAGTCATTAACTATTTACATACACGGCTAAAACTTGAAGAAATACTTAAAAACACAAATTTTACAAAAAGATTAGTACTTGAATTGTGTATATGTGTTGTACACATATACAAAACCAAAATTACCAATTTTTTAATTTTTAACTTTTTTGCAAGAACATCCCAGTAAAATTTAATTCTCTTTTCGATTATAATTTATTTACTTGTCACTTCACATAGTCTACATTTCCCAATATTGTTTCTATGTGTGTTTAATACTAAAACTGGAATTGAAGAAGATGTGGGCTGTTGATTTCACTCTTACTTGAAAAAAAAAATCAACAGCCACACGTTTGCCAAACAATAATAGTTAGAGATAAAGATAAGATTTATCCATTTAACCAATTAGGTAACAAGTAACAACACAACGCAAAGACAGAAGAAGCACGTTCCTACGTGCGCCTTTATTAAAACGATCCTGATACAGTGCGGCACCGCGCACGTAAAACACGTCGATGCTCGCTTGCCAATAAAGGCTTAGGGCCAATTATAAAATTACAAAAAGACCCACCACCGAGTTAAGTAATAACTCACCTATTACAAACCACGCGCACCGAGCTGCGACCAAGTAATCGACGAGCATTATTGTTCGACAATATCCGACAATGTTTACAATGTTAAATGATCGTTATTTACATGATACTGAGATTTTAGGTTTAACCTTATAAGTGAATGTATATATGTTAGGGTGCGTGCACTTGCTCAACTTATGGTGTAACCTGTACCAAAAAGAGTCTTTTGTTTTCTTTTTGTTTCATTTTTCTTATATAATGATATAATCATTATCTAAGGAAAAGTAAATAGAAATAAAAAGGTTTCGAATCTCATAGCTTGCAGGCATAATTCTAAAAATTATTATTATCTTAGATGAATGGAGTTCAGTAGACCTTACTTAAGTCAGTCTAGGTAGTTTAGTGGGACACGTGTAGGCAGTCTCGTAAATATCTGTGATCTTATTAGAACACAAATCAGATTATTTCGTCGATGTTGTTGTGCTTCCTCCTCATTGTGCATCCTCCAGGTAACCTCTGATAAAAGTTTATAATGTAAACGCATGTATCGTTTATGTTGTTTTTTATATGATTAATGATCTGGCGCGCGAACCATAGGTATCGGAGGATGCACTTCGTTCCTGCATTGACCCGATGATAATTTATTAATTATGTGCGAGCATTAACTTTGGGTGGTCTTCACTTTTCATTTTCATTGGGCTGGAACTTACGATGCAGATGCAAATCAACCACAAACAATAGTGATGTAATCTGTAATTTAATACTCCATACACAAGGAATTTTGAGCACTTTGTATATACTCAATCGTTTCACAATTTAAAAGTGAATCTGATTCAATCAATTTAGTTCAATGTTGAGCATAATAATTTCTGGTATTTTGTATGATGACGCTTGTAATACCTGTGATGGCTTGCAGGCCATTAAATTGTTAAATCTGGTTGTTATTACACGCATGCGATGCACCTCTGACTGTTTAATTGATAAAAAGCGAAACGTTTAGATACGTAAGGCCCGTCGGATGATTCAGTTGAGACAGGAACCACTCGAAGCGACTGCATAAATACTTGGTTCGTTTGGGTGCTCCTCGTGGCTTTTAGTGGCCGGGCCCGGCATTTAACATTTCGGATAAATTCGATGATAATGATAGGGTTTTGATTAAAGTGTTCGCTGCGCGCGCGACGCGTTTAGTAACTTAAGTGTGGTGTGTTGTTAGCATCATAAGCGCGTTACGATTTTGACATAAGGCAACCGACAAGTCAAGTGTATCTCGTCTCATGGAGGATGATTATTGTTATAACTGTCAAGTATCAAACTCTTCAAATGTATCATTAAATGTTTAAGGAATAATACTTTTACTGTAGGCTGATCTAAATTATATTTTGCTTCATTTAAATCCGTTTAAAGTTTAAAATTTACAAAAGCTGATTAATTGTTATCAAAATAACATAAACGTGAAACTGTCACGCTTCACACAATCTATTGTAACGCAAATCTTGATTGTTTTGTTTCTGAGAAGATTACATTTGTTAAGCCAATTCATACACACGGAAATGGAAAGATGCAGCGCGTTATTACGATTTATAAAACAAATAAACAATCTAAAGACTAAATGAAGCGCAGTCTAAGAATCGAATAAACAACACGAAGACTTTGTTCCTAATCTTATATGGATTGTGTAGACGCATATTGTATATATTCACATAAAAAAATTAAAATCAGAAAAGGACATGAACAATTGGGGCGAATAACAGTTCCACACTGCGATTAACATATTTGCGATCCCCACGTTGAACTTGGTCTCGACACATTCGAGCTGTAACCGAAAGATGTATTGCGCCCATGCGCTGATTGTAAATAAGTGCGTTTGCATTAAAGTCGCAATCCACGCGGAAACCGAAGAAAGCCGCGTCGAGATAATTTATAAGCGCGAAAAATGTACGCACCAACCGCCATAAATATATCAAGTGTGTGCGCATCCGAGTCGAAGAGTGGCGCGGCATAGCGGCGGCTTGCGTTGCATAAGATCGAAAATCAATACTTGGCACGTGATTTTTTTTCTACACGTCGCGATTTTTATTTATCGCGCATGCAAAACGCCGGTGAACGCGTAAGTAAACCAGTTTATGACCTGATCGTCCATCGAGGGCCTGCACATTGCATCAAGGCAGTGGTGAGAGGCGAAAAGGCGTATCCCAATAAATTTGCGATAAATTTAACACCGGCCAAAATTACATGCTATTAGTGACCGAATTAATAAACCTCGCGCAATCAATTTGATGATTTAATCCTTTTATCCGACGACAGATACTTTTGGGTTCGTGTCTTGTTCGATCATACAGTCACCAAACAAAATTGATTATAAAATTATAAAAAATTTAATTTCCATGTTAAGAAATGTCAATAAAATAATTAGTTATTTGGATGTACTTCAGGAAATCTGTTTGTTTCAGAAGAATGGCTGCTTGTACGAACATATCCGATGGGGTGAAGCGTTTGTGATCGTTTACTCAGTGAGCGACAAGCACAGCTTTCACGAAGCCGCGGAGCTTCTGGGCCAGTTGGCCAAACTCAAATTGCCATCATACTATACCACTCTTTTACTGGGAAACAAAAGAGATTTAGATCACTCAAGGTAAGCATCAAAGCAACCCGTTGCTTAATATATTTTTTTAAGTTTAAACTTAAATTGTAATTTCTTTCATTTTAATCTGAAAATAGTCTTAATGTTCAAGTTGCCGGTTCCTCAAATTACAGAGATTGTAATGAAGCGTAATGTGCGTTTCAGGGCGTTAATGATAGGTTGTTTGTTTTATAATCGTCGTCATTCGGATAATTGAGCTAGCTCCACACACGATTCATAGCTTAGTTCTTAATTACAAAATGTTGCTAGAAATTACAAAGATAGGGCTAACATCTCTGGTAATTACAAAACCAACAGCCGTGGCGAGAAGTAAAAGAATACATACGAGAATGAAAGTTGCTTTGACTGCATCACTAGACTTTTAACTTCATTTAAACATCACTTGAACTTCGCTTCAGATCGCCAGCTCTTGTTCGTGTTAAGTTTGTTGGAGGAGAGTTGGAAGTACGATTTCCATAATAAATCTTTGGCCGTTACCTTACTTTTACATCTAACAATGGTCAATGTAACAGTCAGCGTTGAATAATAGTCCGCGCTTCGACTGAAAGGCTGGAAGCCGGGGTGATAGTGGAAACGGACGATAAATAGCGGATGTACGCGCGCACTTGTTGCGCTCCTAGAATAAAAGCTTGAGCTTGTTCACAGTATGCGGTGATTGTGGCTTGAAGTATAATACATTACGCCGTACCTACGTTAAAGCTCACCTCGCGGTGTGCAACATGGTTCTGGGTGCATCTCACTACGTTTTGTTTCATCTGGTATAATGCAGGAGATCAATTTAGTTAATGATCCTGCCCTATGACCTATTTTTCCACTGGCACAATAAAATCACATTTAGAAAACTTTCTATTTCATATGTGGGAATAATTTTTGAAACTTGCATTCCACAGTCCTGGATAGTAATATATCTATGGCGTTTTGCAAATTTTGTATGGAATGTTGATGGCTTGCATTGTGGGCACGTGAAAAATTAAACAAAGCTTGAAGATTCTATCTTCCTGTTGGCGCACACTGAGGAAAACAAAATGATCCAGCCTTCACTCCTCTGCCAGTCCGAGTGAAACAATTTGCAGATAGGATCGATTTCTATGCTTCAGCAATTTTAATGCCTACGCTTCTCACTTCTCGTGTCCATTCTACATTTCAATAGTGAATCTTTTTCTTATTTTTGCTATACTTCAATTTTATGCTCACCTGGACGCAATTTGTGCCACAATTTAACACGGCGATAATTCGACGTTTTTATTTATCCGTAAATAACGATGCACTACTTTCTACCGAAAACGAATTTTGCCAAACAATAAGAATTTTTATTTTTGGGAACGCCCACACGATGAATCATTATTTCGTTTATCGACGGGTCTTCAATCATCGATCCCCAAAGCGCTGAAAACACTCATTACGTGCGATATGATTTAAGCGTCTTTTATTTCAAATTGACGGTTTTCATTCATCGCGTAAACGTTTTAACGTGAAATGAGTGGATTCATTTGTAATAAAATTGAACGAGGTACGTTGTATGCTAAACTTTAAATGTCTCCGCTTATTTTGTTTCGTCTTGTTCGGTTCGGTTTTCGTTCGTCGTCGGAGAAATATGGATAAATAAGTAACCCGGATATTACAATTATGCTAATGATACCGTGAACGCGCATAATATCGATGGCACACTCCCAAAAATTACGACCTGCCATTCGCCGCGACGCATAAATCGTTTAAGGACATTTTGTGCCAGACATGCAGCCATGTCGGGTCATCTCGGAACGAATTGTGCGGCAACAAAAAACTAAAACTAACACTCGAAGATATATCGAATTGGACTTTAACTTGCGGAACATAAATTTACAGCGCGTGACACAGATAGTACTAATTAATATTCTCATGCTGCACGGTCATGCATGGACATTTTGTTTTGTTGTCACTGTCATTTTTAATAAATTTTCAATTACGTGTTTCTTTGGACGCTGCAGGTCTAAGTTTTTAATTAAAACTTGACCCAGCATTAACCGGAGAAAATTTCTACTTTCATCTTTTGAATCGAAATTTAAATATGGAATGTTTTAAATAATAGTTACACATGTTTTATTGATGCATTCCTTGATGTGCTCTATGATGTTTTTATTATTGTTATATTTTGTTATGGTATTGTTAATATTCCTCGTTTGGTATTTGTCTAATGCGCGGCTTGTACTTGACCCAGAACCGTGAAAGTGCGCGTCGTGATTTTATTCGGAAAGCCAGCAAACTACGAGGAAATAAAAAAGGCGCATCGCAGTTAAGTAACCGTCGTAACCGGCTATTACTGTTTCAATTTTTTTTATTGTTTTACACAAAGTGAAGAAGGCAAAATCATCGTATTCATTGCTCTGATCGACTTAGAAGTATGCATGATGACAATAATTGGAAGACTTTGTATAAAACAAACGTGGTTTGCGACTGGCTAGACGAGCTGAGAGAAAGAAGACCAACAGGTTGATGCACACAATTTCTGTGAGCGTTCACAATACTCGCACGTGAGCAAACTAAACAATGGCTAATAATTTTCGACGTTTCGGATGCTATCCCAGGCGAGCAGCCAGCAAAAAATTGAAAGCATGACTGCTTACTTAATTTATTACTTTTTTCATCTAATTGACCTTTCAACTTTTTATAGATGTATACTCGGTAGATATGAAAATTATACTAACTAAAGAAAACAAGCCCTAACTTACCTAAATAAATTTTCCACGTGTAATAATTTCTGATTCGAGCTAAAACTTAAATTAATTACTCTAAAGAATCAAAGAACGCTAAATATTTTTTGTTTAAATTGTTAATGCTGTGTTTCATGGTGGTTTATGGCATAATCTCTAGAGTGAATTTAAAGCACGCTAGTAATGTGTTTGTCGGCACCGATGTGACAGTATCGTCTTGTCGTGTCTATCGTTTTGAGCGTCTAATAAAAGCAAATTTTCTTCTCCGGACACAACGGTTTCTCGCGCGAAACAGCGTTCGCCTCTTAGCGTCGCAACAACACCGCTCGCTACTCAATAAAGCAGCAAATTAATAGCGAATTAATCTTTACCGTTCGCTATCGCTTGCCACGAGCGGCACTAATGTCGTCTCAAAGGCGCCGAAACAACGAAACGATTTCAATGCAGCGCGTACGCGTGCTTGCGACAATTACTTCATTCGCGCATACGTTATTAGGCGACTAAAATAAATGAAAGTGTCGTAAATTTGCGCTTTGCCTGGGAAATTCACCACGACGAGGAAACGGACAGGATATTTTCTTTTAATTCATTGGCAAAAAATTAATATAGAAAGTATCAATAAACTCAATGCACAAAAACAATTGAAATATTTTCATTAATTGAAAAATAATTTTATTGTGATATACAACCGCATTAGGGAGACCTCTTAAAGTTCTCTTATTATATTACCGATTGACAAAATAAACGTATTATAGTATAGGATAAGGAATTGAAATAATAAAATCATCCAAGGAAATATAATTTATGATTTGCGTATTGTGGAAAATGCTTTAGATATAAATAATGTTGATGTAAACACCGAAAGTAGTTGTTTCAAGGACTGCTCATATTATATACTTTTTGGCATAGATACAGCGCTACCTCTAATTTATTGGATACATCGGCAATTGATATAAATCAAATAGCATGTTCATGACTTAATTAAACAAACTGCCGCACTGAAACCGCAGCCATTGCAGGCAATTTGTGTTTATGAATGAATGCATGAAATTTAATCTAGGATAACAAAATTTGCAAAAAGGAAATAGGTTAAAGAATCCTTTGTAAATTTTTATAAATAAATTAAAGGTATGCATGTAGAAAATTCAACGTACATAGAATTCAAAAATATTAGTATAAAGCAGTAAAATTACCATATTTGGTAGTAAAGCGTTATTGAATATTTGGTGTTGCTTGTAGCTGTGATTAAATCCAAACATAGTTTAAAGCATTTGAAACAGAATAAACGAAATAAATGCTAACTCGAAAGTCTTTATCGCTATAGGTATTGTAGAACAATTTGGGATAAATTTTATGTAAACATTGATTTGATGACACTTGTGCGACCCGAAGGAGTTAGAAAGTTTTTAATGGACCATAATGATACCCGTCGTTTATCAACGAATTGGAAGATTTATTGAAAATTTATTGCTGAGGTTGCTTTATCAAGCGCAAGTTGTGGCTTTAAGCTGTTCTTAAGCTATTATTGCTCATTCAGGTGATTTATTAATATGGCTAAGTGACAGGTTCATTGGGTGTTAAAATGCCAAACAATGAAATAAAAATTTAATAATTCATAAATAATAATTTTCCAAAATTCTATAAACAACACATAAACTGTCGGCACACCAAAAATATCATTTATTGCTCTTTCTTGTAAACAAGCAGCTGTGTGTAAAGAAAAGTGCAGTAATGTTATGAAAATCTTACTAATTATATGATATGTTTGTAGTGCTACAGTTATAAGTAGTTATAGTTTGGTAGTTGTTACTCAAAGAAAGAAAGTTTTCAGTTTGAGATAAAACAATGTAAAGAGAACGAGTTTTGATTTATCTATGACACGATTAAGAAGGGTGCCTAATGACTAGTATAACAAGGTGAGTTTGGTGATGTAAATCAGGCGAGGAGGTTATTAATTGTTGCCTCCAGAAGCTTGAAAGTATTTAGGTTAACACGAAATTACTGTCAATCAAAGAAACGTTTGATCACATGCGTCCGACACTTAGGAATGCAGGATACCTTTTACGCGGCACCTGAAGTGTAATTCATTAATATAATTATGTGTATTATTTTGTTTCATAAGAGTATATATTAATTCTTTCTGTGTTTTTAGGCAAATCTGCGTTGATGAAGGACAGGAGCTTTCCCTGCAGTACGGCTGCCAATTCTACGAAGTAAGCGCTGCTGAAAACTTTGCTGGCGTGTCGCTGGCGTTCCAATCTCTATTGCGGGAAGCGCGAAGTGTCCAACTACTTAAAGCCTTGCCAATTCGACGAAAACTCGGCGTTAACTCCGTGTCTAAGGTGCTGGGGAACATCTTCGGGAAGAATTCGAAAGGCGATCGGAAGAAGCGACCATCACTTAGTATATAGCCACAACTTGCAAAACTCGTGGTTAACCTAATGTAGGCTTTAAAGAATGACTCGATTTTAATCAACAATTAATCTATGGTATAATATCGAAAATGTTCCTAAAATTTATATACACATGGATTTTATTGATATAAAAATAACGAAAAATGAAAAGTACAAAACTTCGGAATTGTTAAAAAGTGGAACCGAAAATTGTGATATTGTATATGGTATAAAATAAGTTATAATATAAATGTAAATTTAGCCATAAGATAATTCTGTTTTTCAAAAACAATTTGCTTGTGTAAATATTGCAGTAGTTGCTAATAATTTCATGTAAAAGCTACAAAATTTTGATCTCAATTCGTAAGATACGATTAAGAATATGTAATGATATCTAATGCAATGATGAATTTGTTCGTTGATAATTGAGACTTGTGCTCGTACTTCCGAGGGTCTGGTTTCGATTGTCCAATGTCAAATTGTCAAATTGTAGCGCTATAAAACGTACACAGCGACACGTGCCATTTGGAAACACATGCAAGACATGTTTGTTTGGTCATTAAAACACGACTAACATAGAACGTTAGAGTGTTGGTAGGAAAAGTTGCGGATTTGCTCGACGGCGGCGATTTATTGCGCGCATGCCGGAAACGGCGGCTAATTTTACGCTCACACCACCCACGCTTACATTTTGTCGTTCCTCGCCAACGACAACCAGTTTAACACCAGTAGAGTAGCGAAACAGTTGAAAAAATCAAACAGCGTCCTAGTAAACCAACGTAATAATTGATTGCTGAAAGCCAGATATCAGCAGGCCCAGAGCTATGATGTGGATGTCTACTTGTAAAGAAAGTTAGGAAAACAAATTGTACTTGTGGTTGACTTTCGCTGTATCATTTATAGAATTAAACTACTGATTTTTAACATGGACTATAATTTATCCAATCTTGTAAAGTTGTATACATGTAAAAGTTCTTTGTAAATTATAGAAATTTTCGGTTTATTATGAATTATGTACATATGATTTGATTGAAAATTTTCCAATTAGCTAATCTAAGCAAATCTTGTGCAGAAGTACATCTATTTCATAAATTGTATTATATTTATCATGTCTTTATAATATACAAATGAATCGCAAAATCTGTTGGTAGCCACATAACTCAGCAACGTCTAGACCAATTTGGACAATTCTTTTTTTTTTAAATGTTCGTTTAAGTCCAAGGGTAGTTTTTACAGCGTGAAAAATTCGAATAATTGCCGGGAAACCCTAAAGACAGCCCATTTCTATAGAATACCAGTTGTCAATGAGATTCAATCATAGTTATAGTTAAATAGTTAAATCCGAGATGGCGCGCTTCGATTTCAATCTTCTAGCTCTTTCGGAAGTGTCCTAATATGCCCCAAAAAAATTTGCATTTTCAAAGCAATTGAAAACATGGTGTGGAAAACACCCTGTATCTCAAGAACAATTTGACTTTTTTCTAGTTTCTTATCGCCATGTAAAAATTAGAAAGTGTCTCTACTGGATGCACATCTCCTCAATCTTCTAGCCCTTCCGGAAGTATTCTAAAATGCCCAATAAAAATTGTAATTTTTCAAAAAAATTGGAAACAGGGTGTGGAAAACACACTGTACCTCACGAACTATTTGACTTTTTTGTAGTTTCTTATCGCCACGTTGAAGCTCGAAAGTTTTTCTATAGGGTGCATACCTTTTCAATCTTCTAGCCCTTCCTAAAATATCCTAAAATGCCCTTTAAAAACTGGGGTTTAAAAAATTGAAACAATGCTGTAGAGAACACCCTGTATCTTGCGAACTAATTGACTTTTTGCACCACCATTTTAAAGTTCGTAAGTCTCTCTACACAATGCATACCTTTTTAATCTTCTTGTCCTTCCGGACAGTCTGAAATTGCTTTTTAAAAATTGGCATTTTTCATCAAAATTAAAGACATGATGTGGAAAACACTCTGTATCTTGAGAACTATTTGATTTTTTAAAAGTTTTTTTACCGCCATGCTAAAGTCGAGAGTCTTTCTACGCGATCCATATTTTTCCAATCCCTTAACCCTTCCAGAAATGCCCTAAAAAGCACTTCAAAAATATTTTTGTCCCAACATTTTCAGTTTTTGGTCGAATAACAGGGTCGAACTTTTTAGTTAATTTTTTTTCGGGCGAAGGACATGGCCGAACTTTTTTTAATTTTTTGGTCTAAGAACAAGGTCGATTTTTTTTGGTCGAATAGCAGGGTTGAACTTTTTTCTTAATATTTTTTTGCTTGAACAACCGAGTCGAACATTTTTCTTTAAATTTTCCTGTCGAAACATAAATTAAAAAGTTGGAATTTTGAATTCCCGATTGATAAAACAGTTTATTTATTAATTTAAAAAAATGTTATTAATTATGAAAAAATTGGCGGAGACGCCTGACATTTAAAAGAGTTGTATAATTACCTAAATATTGCGAACTCCTATTGAGATACAATTTATACAACTTTTCACCTACTAGCAGTAAGGAATTTTCCAGTAAATCTCATAAAGTGAAATGTGCCCTCCCATCGAGACTTAAGAATCAATTATCTCAGAAACTAATGGAGATACACAAAAACCAAAAATACCCCGATGTTCAGGATCAAATCCTAGATAAGATAACATTTAAAAAATTTGAAATATAACATGTGTCTAAATAATTTTCTGAAAAATGGCAGATTTAGTTTTTCCAATTTCTAAAGTTGACCAAAGACCTCTCAAAAAGATCAAGTTACACTTGATTCTTTTTGGACTCCAAAAAATTTTTTTAGCAAGAAGATAATGGAAATCGCTAATCGATTGAGTTTTCCATGGGGTTGAAAGATATCAAGTCAGTTTTCCAATAACATGATTATTACGGAAAATAATGGGTAAAGTCTAAACTGATCAAATAAAACCACATCTCCGATTTTCTCCAAACGTTTCTAATTGAAGTAAGACATCACCAGGATTCTATTAATCCTGGTTTGGTTGCCTTGTGTTAATTAGTTTTCAAGTTATTAACCATTCTTAATTATTACATAAGTGATGATAAGTGAAAATTTGAACATGAAATATAATATGAAATTTAATTCTACATACAAATGTGAAAACCGTTTTTCTCTTTCTATAATAGTTTTCATAAGGGCATAAAACTGGTTTATTCGTTTTCTCCATCATATCCCAAGCAAAAAATAAAAATTGGAAATTTGACTTGTTTATTACAGAATATTGAAACATGTGTAGAATCACCCTTTATCTTAATAAAATTTTGTTCTAAAGTAAAGCGTTTTGACAATTATCATTAATTACCATTCAAATAAATACCAGTTTTTTGCCCTTATCTTGAAAACCATTATAGATAGAGAAAAACGGCTTTCATATTTGAATGTAGTTTTACATTTTACACTATAAAACATGTTCAAATTTTCCGTTATCAACACTTACGTAATAATTAAAAATGGTCAATAACATGAAAACTAATTAAGATAGGGCAACCAAACTTGGATTAATGGAATCCTGGTGATCCTACTTCAATTGGAAACATTTGTGGTAATTCGGAGAAGTGATTTTATTTGATCAGTTTCGAATTTACCACTAATTTTCCGAAATAATAAGGTGATCGTGTTAAAATCTTAACATAATCATTAATTTAACCCTTCAGAACTATCGTGTAGAGAGAATCTCTCACACCTCTCTTAAAACTTTTTTTTTCTAATTTCAAATGGAATGACCCCTTGAAAATTTTTTTACCTTCCTAAAATTTAATTTTTTACAAAATACTGAAAAAATAATTTTTTTTAACTTAAAATATTAAGGAAAAAAATTATTTATTTATCGTCTGTGAGAGTTTTTCTCATCGCGTAAGTAAAGTTAGGCACAAAAAAATCCGCTATTCGGATGGCTTCGTTTTATTTCGGCTGTCTCCGAAATTCCACCCGCCATTTGGAATATATAGGTATAGATATATAAATAGATAATATTCTAAAAATCTAAATAGAAAATTTCATATTTATTTTATCCTCGTCAGAATTATATAATTTTTACTTTAATAACATTAATATTTAATTTATATTATTCAAAACCCAATTTTTTATTTTGTATTTTACTTGATGTGTAACCTACAACTATTTTAGTAGGTTTGAAATTTCGCGCTTGGCGCTTGCGCAATAGGCGTGAGATTTTCTCTCATCACGATATTAATGACTATGGTACGGGAGACGTATAGTCTGAAGGGTTAATAATCATTTCTTTCTCAAATCCAAATTAGCATACAATTACTATAAGCATGAAATCCTTGAAGAATCACCCTCCGCCAATTTTTGGACACGATCAGGCCACTAAATGACTCACGAAGTCACCGTTAGGGGTGGAGCCACGGGCTCCCCTCGCGACGACAAACTACTAGGGTGCCAGCCAACACTACAGACTCCCCTCGCGAGGATGAATGATTGGGGTACCAACTAACATTTTTCACGAACTCATCTCATTCCGTTTTGTGCCAGCATAACACGAACACTACATCGGTACAGTATTCCATTTCAACCAAAATTACTGCTACAAGGTACGACGCAGTGGCGGATTATGACCTAGAGCGCACTAGGCGCGCGCCTAGAGCCCCGCCTGCCTGGGGGCCCCTGGCAGTCTCGTTTCCAATCTAAACATATACTTATATGTCCCATATACGAGGCATAGTAATTCCACAAATACTTCATCAGTTGGTTTTGACCTCAGCCTTTATAAATAGCGTATTGGTTTTCACTTGACGTCCAAAACGGCATTTCACTCGTGTCCGCAAAGCAGCCGTCACGGATATATAGCTGACTTAAAACTTTTTATCTCCGATTTTAAACAGTTTTTTCAGTTAATGCGCATTTATTTCTTTATGGCAAACTGTTTAAAATAAACCTCGCTATACGCGTCCAGACTCGACTCGAATTCCTCAAGGAACATTGGGAAGAGTTTAAACTAAACCGTCAGGCAATATGCGTAGCCGTAAACGCAGTCAACGAGGAGGAGAAAACTCGACTCCGCCAACGTAGCTACTTCCGAAGGAATCATTTCCAATCCACTCGGGTCATCTACATGAACGCTCTGGAGAAAGCCAACACGCTCATCGCTTCGACTACAACTTCTCCACGCACCAGCTTGGGACGAGCAACTTCCACGGGGCGATCTAGTACGTCCTCTGATTCTAACCGGGTGATTCATCATGCACCACGATTACCTTAGCTAGACTTTCCCAAGTTTAATGGTTCCATTTTGGAGTGGCTCTCTTTCCGAACCACCTTCGAGAAGATGGTTGTAAAAAACGATGCCGTGGACGTAGTTTACAAAGCACATTACCTGAAATCAGCCATGATCGGCTCGGCAGCTCATTTCCCGAATAGTACCACCCTCACTGACGACAACTTCGATCTCGTTTGGGAACAACTCACGAAGTTCTACCACAATGAACGGGTCCTGTTACAGAGTGCTTTGCACGCAGCTGCAACGATGAAGAAGATGAACAAAGAATCAGCATCCAAACTCGAGCAACTTTACTCAACAGTGAATCAAATAAGAAACTCCTTAGAGCTCCTTAAACGCTCAATGGCTGGATTAGACGACCAATTAGTGTACGCTACCACCCAAAGGTTCGACCCTGAGACCCAAAAGGCCTGGGAACTCCATCTCGGACCCTGCCAGACACCTCCTGTCTGGACTCAATTATCCAGCTTCATCATGGCAAGGTCAGCGTCTACTTCAGCATCTTCATCCGGCGTCAAAGTTCACCATTCCGAAGCTATGACTGAAAACAAGTTCCATGATAGACCACCACCTTCATGTACTCTCTGCGATGAGCTACATTTCCTGTCTCATTGTCCAGTCTTTATTAACAAGACAATCGAACAACGGAAAGACATAGTTAATCAACGCAGGCTCTGTTACAATTGCCTTGGTAAACATCGTGCCAGCGCCTGCCTCTCATCGCTAAGGTGCCGAAGATGTGGAAAACGTCATCACACATCTCTGCACCATTCCACGACAAGACCAGCAACAAAAGATGCATCTGCGGTTCACACCAATCATGGCAGTGCAGTTCAACCCAGCTGCATCTTCCTCGCCACCGCCAAACTAATAATTGCATCCGACAATGGCGAACGTATACACGTACGCGCGCTGATAGACCAGGGATCCGAAGCCTCTCTCATCACCGAGCGCATTGTGCAACGGCTCAGACATACGCGAGGAACCAATTCTACACACATAATCGGCATAGGCGGCCAGCCAACAAGCAGGTCACGAGGTATCGCACTATTCACAGCTTATTCACACCTTGATAATTCCAGGCCCATGAAGACCCGGGCACACATTCTCCCAAAGTTGACAAACGCGCTGCCTACGACATGTCAACCCATGAGGACGTGGCCACACCTTCAATGGTTAGAACTTGCTGATCCTGAATTCTTCATCACCAGCCCCGATTTAATTCTCGGCGCCGACGTCTACCGCCAAATCATTGAAGAAGGCATTGTCAAGGACGGTCCTCTATCGCCCACTGCTCAGCTGACCAGGTTCGGGTGGATAGTCTCCGGACCCTCCGGCAGTTCCAATGAGGTAGCCATGTTGCGCACGCTCCATCTTAAGATCGACCTCGATTTAGATGCAAGCCTGCAACGGTTTTGGAGTCTAGGCGAAGTAAGACCTAAGACCTCAAACTCAAAGCATACCGAAGCCGAAGAGGAATGTGAGAGCCATTTCCTCAACACACACTCAAGGGACAAAGACGGCCGCTACATAGTTCGACTACCTTTCAAATCACCTCTGAGTCAACTCGGCGACTCAAAGCCCAAAGCCCTACGGATGCTGTACTGTCTGCAGAAGAAATTCCGATTAAACCCCGCCTTCAAGCAGTCATACACCGACTTTCTGGGGGAGTATGAAAACTTGCAACACCTCGTTCCAGTCTCATCGAGCCTTCCAGAGCCCGATGTTGTCTACAGCTTATCGCACCACGGGGTCCTGAAGGAAAGCAGCCTTACCACGAAGCTCCGTGTCGTCTTCAACGGTTCGAGCGCTACCAGCAATGGCACCTCACTCAATGACCTTCTTCACTCCGGAGTGAAGCTCCAGATCGACTTGTTTGACGTTCTCCTCTTCTTCCGGCTCAATCGTTACGTTTTCTCTGGGGATATTGAGAAGTTTTATCGACAGATCAAGGTCCACTCTGACGATTGGAAGTTTCAGCGCATCCTCTGGCATGTCGGCAATCAGTTGATCACCTACGAGCTAACCACCAACACCTACGCATTAGCGTGTGCAGCCTTCCTGGCCCTACGTGCATTCCAACAGCTCCTTAGTGATGATGGCAGCAAGTATCCACTCGCTCTTCCAATGCTCACACGAGGTCGCTACGTTGATGACATTGTCGGAGGAGCCGACACTGTTGATGAAGCAAAGGTTCAGATGGCGCAAATCTTCAACCTCTGCAAGGCAGTCGGATTCCCAATTCAAAAGTGGAACAGCAATCACCCAGATCTGCTGTCAGACGTGCCTCCTGAAAAGCGACTGGAAGCACTTTCCAAGCCGATGCACGAAAATTCCACCTGGCCTGGCTTGGCAACCAAGAGCTGATACGTTCCACTTCACCATCAAGATGGCCGTAGATTCACCCGTTACAAAGCAAAAAGTACTCTCCGCTAACGCTCAGATCTTTGACCCACTGGGGTTCCTTACCCCAGTGGTCATTACCGGGAAGATATTCATTCAAGAATTGTGGACGCTCAAATTAGGAAGGAACGAAGAGCTATCCCAAGATGCCTCTCAAACATGGACCAATTACCTGAACCAGCTTCAAGACTTGCAACAGCTCTCCATTCCGCGTTGGCTTCAGCTCTCCGCAATATCAACGTTCGAGATCCACGCATCTCAAAAGGCTATAGCGGCTGTAGTCTATGTGCGAGCATTAGTGCGTGGGACCCCCACCATCACATTGATGTGCTCGAAGACTAAGGTTGCACCACTTAAGCGCCTCACCATCCCACGTCTGGAGCACTGTGCTGCCGTGCTTCTCTCGCGTCAACTGAAGCATGTCATTACCTCGATGAACTGGAGCGCTCACCCAACCTACTGCTGGACGGATTCCGCCATTACACACACCTGGGTCAATAATCATCTCTCACGTTGGAAGGAGTTCGTTCATAATCGAGTGAATTTCCTTCGAGGAGCTTCACCTGCAGTTCAATGGCATTTCGTTCCGGGAAAACTAAATCCAGCGGATTGTGCTACGCGTGGCCTGACAGCGGCAGAACTCATCAGCCACCCGCTGTCGCGGAACGGCCATTCATACCTCCTGCAGACCCCCGACTGCTGGCCGAGCAACATACAAACCGACTTCTCACATGAGATGCTGGAAGAGCGACCCACCAAAGTCAATGTAGTCACGGCGATACCTGAACCGCTGCTAAATTACCTCTTCAACAGAGGTAATTTCTTCTCACTCACGCGGCTCGTCCGATCCACGGTGATATTCGATCGAGCCGTTTCAAGATTCAAAAGGCAACCGTCAGCCTCACTGATGACCAATCCTATATCGCCCGGTGACCTCGAAGACGCTCGCCTCTATTGGATAAAGCACGTTCAAGGACAAGTCTTTGGGAAGGAAATTCAGATCCTAAAAAGGGGAGAACAACTCGGCAAGACCCATCCACTAACCCGATTAACACCTTAGGTCGATCCCGTTGGAATTCTTCGCGTCGGAAGACGTCTCCAGAACTCCAATCTTAATGCTGATGCACGACATCCGATTATCCTTCCACCTCGACACCACTTCTCTGATTTGGTGATCCTGGACGCACATCACTAAACCCTGCACGGCGGTACCCAACTCACCCTGGCCTACATTCGCAATATCTATTGGGTACTGGGCGGTCGGGCCCCAGTTCGGTCCCACATACTTCGCTGTATACGATGCACTCGCTTCCGACAAGAGCGTGCTCATTCAACATCAAAACATGGAAGGGAAGAAATACAAAGACCTACAAAGGCTTCTTAGCCTTATTTGTTTGTTTTTCATCATCAGCTGTGCATCTCGAGCTAGTCAGCGACTACTCAGCCGACGCCTTCATCGCTGCCTATAAGCGATTCACCGCACGCCGAGGAATTTGCTCCACCCTCTACAGTGATTGCGGTACCAATTTCAAAGGTGCAGATAAGGAAATCCAACGACTATTCACCGCCGCCACTAAGGAATCAGGAAGTGGAACCCAGTGGCACCCAGTGGAAATTCAACCCATCTTCTGCGCCCCATTTTGGCGGAAAATGGGAATCCGGGATCAAATCCGTCAAACATCACCTTCGGCGCAGCATTGGCGAACGTGTCCTTACCTTCGAAGAGATGACCACCTTCTTGACCCAAGTTGAAGCGACGCTGAACTCTCGGCCACTCTGTCCGCTGACCGAGGATAATGAAGACCTTGAAACTCTCCCTCCCGGACACTTTCTTATCGGCAAAGCGCCCAACGTTTTGCCAAAACCCTCGTTGGAACATCTCAAACCTGATCGTCTGTCCCGTTGGCAACTTATTCGCCAAGCGCTCGATGGCTTCTGGAAGTATTGGTCCGCAGCGTGCCTTCAACGCTACCTATCCATCTCCAAGTGGAACCAACGTTCACCCAACTTCAAAGAGGGCGACATGGTTCTCGTGGTAGATGAACGCTATCCGCCAGCGAAATGGCCACTTGGTCGTATCACACAAATCCACCCTGGAAAAGATGGACTCATCCGGACCGTAACCGTTCGCACTCAAGCCTCCACCCGGGGCAGACCCACAGTCAAGATCTGTCGTCTTCCTATTAACCAGGATGTTATGTAATTATTCGTTACCCTGGTAACGAATGGGGGGGGGCGGAAGAATGTTAACATAATCATTAATTTATTAATCATTTCTTTCTCAAATCCAAATAAGCAAACAATTACTATAAGCATGAAATCCTTGAAGAATCACCCTCCGCCAATTTTTGACACGATCAGGCCACTAAATGTCTCACGAAGTCACCGTTAGGGGTGGAGCCACGGGCTCCCCTCGCGACGACAAACTACTAGGGTGCCAGTCAACACGACGGACTCCCCTTGCCAGGACGAACTACTGGGGTGCCAGCCAACACTACGGACTCCCCTCGCCAGGACGAACTACTGGTGTGCCAGCCAACACTACGGACTCCCCTCGCCAGGACGCACTACTGGTGTGCCAGCCAACACTACGGACTCCCCTCGCGAGGATGAATGATTGGGGTACCAACTAACATTTTTCACGAACTCATCTCATACCGTTTTGTGCCAGCATCACACGAACACTACATCGGTACAGTATTCCATTTCAACCAAAATTACTGCTACAAGGTACGACGAACTACATCGGTACAGTATTTCAGTTCACCCAAAACTACTGCTACAAGGTATGAGTAAACACATTACATTACGAACTCCACTTGATACTAACAGCCATCATGCGACTCATACCTAACCTCAATCGACCAAGGCTACGCTCATTAACACTGTGTACATTTCTCTTTCTTTTTGCGAGTGCTTAACCGTCCGGTCAGGTTTTCGTTCAGACCCTCGTTCTGAACCGCCCCCGGGGTTAGGCCTCCACTGTTCGGGTAGCTCAGCCCCTCGTGCTGAGCTGCCCCCCGGGGTTCAAAAACTCCGTACTGGGTACACAGTGTTATTTTGGGTCTTCGGCTTAACTGTCCGGTAAGGTTTTCGTTCAGACGCTCGTACTGAACCGCCCCCGGGTTAAGCCGATAACATTCTTGGTACGTTCAGCCCCTAGTGCTGAACTGCCGCTGGTCTCATTTATCTCCTTCGGCTTAACTGTCTGGTAAGGTTTTCGATCAGACCCTCGTACTGAACCGCCCCCGGGTTAAGCCGATAACATTCTTGGTACGTTCAGCCCCTAGTGCTGAACTGCCGCTGGTCTCATTTATCTCCTTTGGCTTAACTGTCCGGTAAGGTTTTTGTTCAGGCCCTCGTACTGAACCGCCCCCGGGTTAAGCCGATAACATTCTTGGTACGTTCAGCCCCTAGTGCTGAACTGTCCCTGGTCTCCTTTATCTCCTTCGGCTTAACTGTCCGGTAAGGTTTTCGTTCAGACCCTCGTTCTGAACCGCCCCCGGGATAAGCCGATAATATTCTTGGTACGTTCGGCCCATCGTGCTGAACCGCACCTGGTGTTAAACCAACTACTTGTGATCAATGAGATAATTAACAGTTACCGCCACTATTCCATATACAAAGCATACAACCAGTAATCGACAATGTTTATTTCGCTCCCAAGGTACATATATTTTGAACGAGCAGACGAGAGGCCATTTATACGAAGGAGACGAGAGCCGCTAACGCATTCACCTCAGCAGCCTCATTTACCTATACACCGGGACCAGATAACACAGATATC